GTCATAGCTCATAGTCATATTTACAGTAGTCAAAAACATTGTTTTAAAAATGCATTTAGAAAATAATTTATTAATGATCTCAAAGCAGTTGAAAGGTGCCAAAGAGTGAGGATTAACTCTGGCATTGATACAGCGCTGACGTAACGGGGGCCACCTAAGAATATAATTTGACTTCAATCCCGGACGAGCCCCCAGTTTGTTCCAACAAAGAGATAAAGATGTCCTGCTCAAAAGAATTAGCAGTTTTCCTGTCAATTTTAAATGCAAGTTGGGCAAAACCTTGAAAAACAATAAATTTTAACTGACACTCAAATAAAATCAATAATAAGCCAGGGTAAATGAGTTATAATGAAAACACTCTTCTTTCTGAAAAGGAGTATTTATCACAAAGTTACCACCAGCATAAACCCTTTCATCTGGCCATCACTGTATGGTTCCACATTAATAGGGAAACTAGCTTTGACTTTAGCAGATTAGATTTTTCATTAATTTTGAAAACCATTAGTGGACCATTAGCTTCCGCTAAAGCAGTTGTTGCCATCTTTAAGTCTGCTAACAGCTAGCTAACAAGCTAACATCAACAGGTTTGTGTCAGTCCCATCAGTCTGCAGCTGGAAGGAGACGAAGAGGTGTGGCAAAGATTGAGTGATTGTTGTCTTAGCGATTAGCTGTTAGTGTTAGCTTTTGGTATTTTTTCTTGTTTAGCCATTAAACGTTAGCCCCTTACCTTCTAATAGGGTTTCACTCAATTCTAGTTTCCCTTCTCTGCTCCGTCTGGGATTTCTCCAATAAACAAGGATTTCTCTGGTAGAATTTTAACAGAGACCACTCCTCCAGAATGAAATTGCTTCTCAATAGCTGAGATTCCAGACCCTCTGTATGAAGCAAAGGGAAGATCAAGGGGCTGTTTTTTTATCAGGCTATTTAAGCATTAGCTTCTGCTAATGTTTTTCTTTTTTTACATGTCTAGCAGTTTAGCGTTGGTAAAACTATATTTTTGGTTAGCAGATTATGAGTTGCTGTTTTGGAAGCTTTATTTACTGGTTTGTATTTTAGTAAAAAGTAATTTAGTGAAGAAGAAGAAACAGTCTTCTAAACATTTAAGTTCAGTTATACTTATCTCTTGTTTTTCATTGGACTCCCTTCCTGCTCAAAGCCTCAGCTGTAAATATTTAAATAAAACATTTGTCAGCTCCTGTGGTGCTTGAAGAGTCATTACACTTCATTAAATGATAGTTTAGATATAAGTATTGATACTTTAGTTATAAAAATAACACTAATTATGTGGATTTATTAATTTGTTCTTTATGTCCAAAATGATGCTGATTGGCCATTATTTTTATAGCTGTCTTCTTCCAACAGGCTCTGTGTCGTTTGTACAAACTACTGATGTACAAGAGGCAGATAAAGACAAAGGTTGGACTTTTTGCTGCTATAATGTGAGTTTTTATCTAACATGCACTAATGTTTATTTTTGTGTTTTCAGGAGATGTATTCAGACACTACGCCACTTTCTCTCTTGAACTGATTTGTGAGCCAGCAGCACCTGTCAAGGTCATCCACATCCAGTGTGTCAGCGAGGTAAATTCTTCAAACAGTTCCTGTTTAAGATAATGAAGCTGTTATCATCATGATAACTATCTGTGGGAGGCAGAATTCAGGCTGGGTTGGGGACCAAAAACCTTGTTTGTTCAATGACCTGCCAATCAATTTGTAACTTGTATAAAGTACAGCGCAGCTGGAAGAGTTGGATGTTTGTTTTCAGTTGATGATTGAGGAATCTTTCCAAGTAAAATACTGAACTTGTAACATCTACAGACTGATATGTATTACCCAGGCGAAAGAAAAAGTAGTTCTCACGAACCACATGTGATTTAAACAAGATTTCAATAGTTTATTTTCTTCTATGTTCCTGTTAATGACATACATTAGCTGAAATAACTAAAAAATCAAAGTATCAATATTTTGATTTTAGAATTGATATTAGAGCATAAAGTTCTGGCACCAGCAGTATAGAATTTTCAGTATCGATCTGCACATCAGTAGAGAACAGAATTTAACAGCTTGTTTAACAGCAATGTATAACTCAAACCTCATCCCTACCGGACTCCAACTCCTGCCCCTCTAATTAGCCTCCATCCTCCGGGGACATGTTTAGCTGAAGTAAAACCACTTATCGTGATTCTTCAGAGCAGCTGTTTCTGCTCTGTGTGGATCTAAAGATGGTAGCATATATTTGCTCTTTGTGAAAAGGGCAGCTGCTTTCCTCTGAATTTTAAAAACAACACAAACTAGACATGGGTTTTTACGATGTAAAAACAAGTGTGCATTGCCATGTAGCATGTCATTGCAGCATGGCTTTGCCTGCAACATTGGACTTGCAGAATGAAATGGGACCAAGTTCAAATGTGTTTTCTATACCAGCTTGTGGCTGTCACCTGAGCAGGTGTTTGTAATTAAGGTAAGTGTGTGACAATATGAAGTTTGAAGAGATTTTTTGTT